ACTTTGGTTACTACGGGTAATAGTCAGCACCTTACCAATCTGCTAGCTGAATCACTACCGAGAACTAGAGCCAGAGGCAAGACTAGATTGGGATAACCCACACTTTTTCAGCGCCCGGGTGGTTTTTAGGTTTCTTTTTATTTCTATATGTACCCATCTTTTATATTTTTTGGTGTGTGTTGTACCGTGTGGGTCGGGTGTTTAGACTCAGCCATACAAATCTATCTGCATCTTTATCTTTAATATATCAGCCCTTGGATTTTTTCATAATATATATATATATATATATATAATCAAAATCACAAAAAAATGCGCAAAAAGTTAGGGACATATCTTTTTTTTTTGTTTGTGTTGTATCGTGTTAGTAGGATGTCTTTTTGGGCCCACTCATACAATCTACTTGTATTTTTTCTTTTTTTAATATAATTCCCTTGAGCTTTTGAAAGCCCAAGGGCTAATATATTAAAATGGAAAAGATACAGATAGGTTGTAGAGATTCATGTAATACCAAAAAGAGTCAAAACCACTGAAACACTTTGGGATGACTCAATTTATTCCTGCCTTTGCCTCTAGTTCTAGGAAGGGAGCCAACTAGCAAATTGGTGAGTTGCGTGCCATTACCCGAAGTAACCAATGTGTCATCCATTAAATTTCTGAGCTCAAATAGATCACTATTCTTCTTCTTCCTCCTGAATGTGTAAACCTGTCATTCCTCGTCTGGAGACTTGCTCATCTGATCCGTTTGTTGGTCAACAGATTGTCGGACATGTATAAGTTGAATCACTTATGCCTGACTAACAGTAACAACTTGATCGTTTAGATGAGGTGGTAGAACTGTAGTAGAAGGATTATCAACCGTTGTAACCACATTAGATTCTAGTGTATGTAAAGTATGAATTGTTGCCTTTATACCAGATACTTCCTGGGGATGAGGAGCTGCAAGGCTCTCGTGATTATCGGTTCGAACATTTTCCTTTATAGCTAAGGACCCTTTAGTATTGTTTTTAATAATTTTTGAAGGTGTAGGTTGCTCAGCTGAGCTATCCGACAACACACCAATCGTAGAAACAGAAACAATATTGTCAGGGGGGTCCCTAGGAGCAATTAAATCAGACACCAATTCCTGTCTTGTCTTAATTTCTTCCACAGGTGGGGCCAATGTGTCCAAAACAGTGGGGTTAGACCCATTCTTATCTGCTTGAGCTGTAGATTTTAAGTTAGGATGGAGCCTGTGGCATTGGTCAAGGATATGCCCAAACATCTTATAGTGGGTACAATAGAAAGGTCTATGTTTCATGACAATTTGTTGCCAATATCCATTATCTGTTGTGCCTAGCAAGATTTCTGTAATATCAGGTAAAATAATATCCCATTCCACAAGTATTCTGGCAACAAAAGTCCTGATTAGATTGAAGGTAGATAGATCAAGCTTCATAGGATCCCCGAGTATGGCCCCAATAGAGTAAAGAACTTGATGATTAAAAAAGTGCAGCTTGAGGCCAGATAAACTAAACCATACTGGTACAGTGGGAGATTCAAGGTTTGGATCAAAATCAGGAGTCCAGTTGAGTAACTTCATTGACTTTCCTGAAATATTAAGATATTTTTTTGAGAAAACTCGAGCGTAGTTTTCAGCCATGGTTAACTAATTCAACACATGTCTCCCATCAAAGAGACCCACTTTCCACTTGCCTATAAGTTTGGGATTATGAACACTCTTTTACATTCATAGATGGGTGTCCCACCTTTTCTACTTGCCTTCCTAACAAAAGTGCAATCACCAGTACATTCCTTATAGTTTGAGGGGAAGACAACAGATGACTCCACCAAATGATTACTCACCACGTGGGCGAAGGAGGCTTTGCCAGATTCAAACGGAGGAGGGAACTCACCCATCCAGCAGGAAAAAAGTCCACCTGAAATGAGGGAGGAAGGAGAGGGAGGAGTTCTGCGGCTTTGTCGAGAGGAGAGGAGACGTAGTTGCGGGCCTTGCGTGCTGCTATTAAAGCTGTCGAGTCGTGCGAACGAGGAGAACCGTAGGAGATGAGATCTGCTGTGTTTGATTGTGTCAGTGGAAGATGAGGAAAAAGTCGTAGAAGCTTAGCGTCGAAACAGACGACGTCGCTAAAAACGTGAGTCGACAGAGGAGACGCTCGACGTCGAAACAGGCGAATAGACGAAACAGACGCAGTTGAGGACGGATGAGATGCGAGCCCTTTTACTTCGATTGCTTCTAAATCATATGCGACTGAATCATTGACGAACGAAATTGCCATTATATATATATATATATATATATATATATATATATATTGAGAAAGTCACAGAGATAATATGTCCAAGAGCTAATATATTAAAAAGAAAGAATGATACAAATAGTGACATCCTACCCACACGTTAAACACTAAATGCAAATGGTTCTAAAAAAAAGAAAGAAAATACAGAAAAATACATGAGAGCCAAAAAAAAAAATAAAAAAATGCCAAAACACGTAGTATCAGGTAGCTAGAGAGTGACCCAATTTTGTCCTGCCTCTGCCTTTAGTTCTAGGAAAGGAGCCGACTAACAAATTGGTAATATGAGTGTCATTGCCAATAGTAACCAATGTATCGTCCAATAAGTTCCCGAGCTCGAGTCGGTCTCCATTCTTCTTCCTCCTGGAGTAGACTTGTCGTTTCTCATCCAAAGACTGACTCACCTGATCAGTGAATTGGTCTAAAGTGTGTCAGGCATGTGTAGATTGTTGAACATTAGAAGCAACTACTTATTGTACCAGCTGATCTTTTATTGAATCAAAGGAGCACTCTTGTGTGTCTTGGCATGTAAATAAACATTCTTCAATAACAGTGAGTGGTATAGACACGTTTAGATCTGTACTTGTAGTATGGGGAGATGTTTCATGGGACTCCAAAGTACCATGCTCCAAACGAGCAGCTGGGATAGATTGTTCAAAAGCATAAGCATCCAGGGGTAGAACAGGTTGGGTATGGTGTTTTTCATTAGGAACTGCTGTGTTGGAAGGAGGGTCGGGCTGCACATTCTCAGCAGGGATGGTAGGTGGCAAGACGTCAACCCCTAATCTAGTATGAAAAGATTTTCAAACAGATTGCTGATCTTTAGCGATATCCGCCTGTAGATGGGATGCAAGTTATAGCATATTGTAAAGTTGTGGCCAAACATACTATAACGAGAGCAATAAGGAAGGTGTGATTCTATTTCAATCTTTTGCCAATACCCGTTGTGAGTGGTTCCAATTCATATCTCATCCGGAGCTGGTTGAGTGATTTCTCTCTCAACTAACACATAAGCCACATAAGCCACAGAGGGTTTGGTTTGGTGACAACTAGCGTAGGACTATCAACCTTGAGAGGCTTACCGTAAGCAGTTGCTAAGAAGTAGAGAATTTTCAAGTTGAACAGATGTAGTTTTAACCTCAAAAATTTTATCCAAACAGGAATGATAACGTTGAACAGATGTAGTTTCAAAATCGACAGTCCACTTTGGAATTTTCATAAAATGGTTGTTGATCTTGTAACTTTATGAGAAAAAATATGAGTGTAATCCATATCTTTAGATAACTGAATAAATATATGTCTACTATCAACTAAGCCAATATTTCAACTGCTCGATAGCTTCATGACATCAAAATCTTTCCGAATGATCTCAAGTTTTGGGTGACGATAAAAGAATTTCCCCACTAGAGCAAAATGCTAAGAAAATGCAAGAGTATTGGTTTCAACCTCAGTGAGAATAAGAGCAGGCTTCCCATTTTTTTTACCAAGTTTTTTAATGAAAGTGTGATCATCACCACTTTCAAGAGCCTCGTGGAAGAATTGTGGAACTTTGCAGGACTTATCGATGCCAAAACGAGGCTCAGAACTTGAATGAGGGGCACGGGCAGGAATAGGAAAGTCGCCGGCAAGGGCAGTTGCATAGGAACGGAGGTCGAGACCATCTCCACCGACAAGATGGCCACGGTCAGAATAGAGTGGCTTGGCGATCCGCGAGGAGGATGCGAGCAGACTTCAGGAAACTGTCTGGCGGGAGAGCAAAAGTTACGACGTCTGGAGCGAGCGAGAAGACGACTGCGAAGGAGAGAAGTGTTGTCGACTACGGGAGACGACTGCGACCGATCGTCTTCGATAGGAGAGACGACAGCGAGCGAGAGTCGTCGACTGAGAGCTACGCGTTCGTGAAAACATCTTCGTTGGAGATGACGGAGAGAAGGAGAGAAGCCGATAGATTCACCATCG